GATCTGTGGGAGGTTTGGAGATCGAGCCGCTTTAATCGCAGCCAGCGCACGCGCTAGAAAGAACGATTGGTAGTGTAGGGCGGTATTCCTCCCTAAGGGTCCATGTACCCAAGTCTTTCAAGGGTTCTGCAGGGTTTTACAGGGTTTAGGGTATAAGGGTCCATGTCCCCAAATAGTACATATAATTTGGCCTTAAAGTAGTCTCTGTATCGGTACTTTGGGGCCTAAGTACAACTGTTTGGGATTATGAACCCTTAGGGCCTTGCATTCTGTACATCGCACCTCCTGCTCGCATGTGCCCAGTGATGTTAAACTGCGCTGGAGATAAGAGTCGTGGGTGCTTAGAGTTTAGGGTTTCGGCCAACATTCACTGGTTGTTCAAGACGTCAACGCAAGCCCGGCATCCAAACCCCCACACACTACAGTATATTGGGCCGCCAAACCCTATTTTCATTGGGGGGCCCTTTAAGTCGACAACTACACTGGGCCGATGAGAGACAGTGCGGCAGGGCGGATGCGGCTGCAAACTCTTCCGCGAGCATGGGACATGGGGGAATACGGCTACCTGAAAGCCTCAAGTCTCTTCTGTAATTTCCCCTGTGAGCCTGCGTCACACTCGAATTTAAAATGATCCTATTTATAAGGGTCCGGGCCCGGAGTTCGTGGACCCTGCCATGATGAAACGTCCGGTAACCGGATCCTGGCAACGTGTGGCAACCGAAACCTGGCAATTTAATGCCAAGTCAATATAGGGGCCTTCATTGGGCGAGTTACATTAATAGAAAACAAGGAGCTCTTAGTGCGGATAGTTTAGGCCCCTATACTTTTTGTCCAGTGATGGCAGATGCAAACATGCACAGAAAATTGAGCTGCGCTGTGACAGCCCTGTCTGACATTAATCACCCTATGGGCCCAAGCACCCAGCAATCACATGCTCCCCCAAATACTAATTAATCAGTCTCGCAGCCATGCTAAGTATTGCTTTCTTCGCGATGTGGATCCACCTCAGACCCAATGTTGCAAGTTGAAACGTGGAACTGACCCACACCAACCAAATCCATCATAGGGGCCCTCAGGAGGGTAGGGGGAGGGGTGTAGGGGACTATACTTCCATAAATAGGCCTTGTTAAGTACGGCCCCTACCCCCCTACCCCCTAACGCCCCTAAACGTCCTTATGAAAATCCTGAAGACTGAAGCCTAAACCATGACCTCGCCAACATTAGGGCTTTGGGATCGAGGCATGACCACTTAACATAGGTGCCTGAATAATGTGGACCTGATTAAGAACCTCGGGCCCGTATTAGGGTTCCTTATATGAATTCTACTATTTTGCGGGGATAAACGACCAGGGTGTCTTCATCAGGTTCCTAGACTCGTCAGAACCGGGTTGGGGGGACACATGCTTAGCATAGTTACCTAAGAAAAGTTTTTGCTATAGTGCTTTTGCGCAAAAAGCAAGCCTCAGAACGGGGACAGAAGTTGTTAGGGCTTCTGAAAATCAAGTAAGTTCGAAAAACACTCAGAGATAGTATACTATATACAGGGTTTCCCGTCCACCGAATTAACCCGACCTCTACATCAGGCTTTGGGGTTTGGGGTCTAGGATTCCGCTGTCAGGCGGTTCGGAGTTAGGCTGCGGAAGCCAAGCTTGATGGGATTCAGATTTCAGCAATTGGGGTTTAGTTTAGAGATGCAGATTTCAAGGTTTAGGGTGTAGGTTTAGAGTTTAGAGTCAGTCATAAAGGCAAATTGCATGTCAGGCATTTTCGGGATTAGGGTTTTTCAGGCCCGCTCGGGTGTTGAACCAGCTACGCTGTGGTAGCATGCTGTTGTCGCGATGTGGCTGCGACGAATTCGAACGTTTTCTGGGGTTATCATCAGTCCAGCACCCTAAACCCCTAAACCCTAAACCCCTAAACCCTAAACCTCTAAACCCTAAACCCCCTAAACCGTAAACCTCTAAACCCTAAAGAGGTGCAGTTAGCTCAGTACTGAAACCGTAGCGGCCACTAGACCGGTGCTTTGTGAAAATTGTGAATACTTTTCATTCCTTCCGGATGTTTAGGAAAAAGGACCCCAATATGAATTCAAGCTTTTGTTTTTCCATTGAATAATCAAAACCCCAAAGACCTACAACTTATTTCAAAACATATATACATGTATACTATGCACATTTGTGAATTCATACGGCCTCTGTTTCTCATTGAAAACCCCAGACAAAGATCTAAAGGACACACTCGGGAACTTACACTGCGCTCTGCGCAGAGCATCTGTAACCCCCGCGCGTCTTGTGACCCGCGGGGGGACGGATCCGAGATAATTGCAGGTCGGAAGAACGAGTAATAGTGCTTAAGGTTTATAAGGATTAGGGCACTCAATGCAGCCAAATCATAAACAACATGCCAGTCTTGTTGCATCTATTAAGGCGCCCAACTTACCCGGCTGAATTCTGGTTGCATCGTAACATTAAAACGCTCGAAGGATTACGGACAACGCTGTCTAATATACAAACATGATGAACTAGTATTACTATTCCTTAGGCCTCCTGATTAACTATGAAAATGCAGTGTAATATGCACGAACGCCCTCTTCCAGCTGTTAAGGCCCTTGCATTCGGCTTGGTGCTTTGGGGTTGGCAGCTTTCGGCTTCGGCTTTGCTGCTTGCTCTCTGGGGTCGACCTTTTCTATAGGGCTTGAGGTATGACTGGCACGTAATGGAAAGCAAACCCCGAAAATCATTATCACATGTCCCATAATTACAACTCATCATCATCATCATCATCACGATCGACATCGTTCGTCACCGCCATCGCCGTCACCAGCAGCATCATCATCATAGTGTTTAGCAATATGCAGACATGCGTAGCTTTGCGTCCAAGACTTGGACCCGTCTTCAACTTCTAGCGACCCCGCTATCCGCCTTCCGCGGAAGTTGCCGGCATCATCCAGGATTTCAGCCTTCAAGGCCGTCGGCTCGCTTCAAGGCTTTTATTAACCCCCCCCCCCCGCACCAAAAAAAAACCTACCGCTTTTAAGGTTCCTTGATAGGATTTCCTCATCTAAGTCCGGAAAACGGTGGGATATTCAGGGTTTGGGTAGGGTTTATTTGGGGTGGGAAGATACACATTTTGGGTCGGGGATAGTGGGAGGCACCGTGCAGAAGAATGGCTGACGAGATGTTTTTGGTGTCCTGCATCATTAAACCTACCGTCTGACATAGCCCTATTTCACAACCCCACACTCTCCCCCAAAAGCCCTGGGCCACTTGCCAAGCCTGCAAAAAGTCTCGTTGACTGCAAGCAGCTAATGTCCCGCAGCCTTACAACACTTCGCTAACCCTAGTTACTCAAACTGTGGATACTTTGGCTCTCCGGATTGTTTTTTTACAAAAACATGCGAACTGTTTTTATAAGCACATTTCACTGTGGATACTTTGGCTCTCCCTGCAATCTTCTACCGAGCTTGTTGTATGATTAGGCACACTCCAGGCCCTCGCATCCAGTAGAGTCTCGCAATGGTTTAGGGATTAGGGGCGTAGGGGTTAGGGTTTAGGGTGGTTTAGTGAGGATTAGCTGCTGCAAAATTCAGTTGATCGAGATTCGGAAAACACGCTTAAAACTGCGGTCAAGGTTTACGAGGGGGCTGTAGGTAAATCCGCCCTGCAACCCAACCCGCCCCATAATCCGTCCCGCAACCCATCTAAACCCAGACTTGCCTAAACCCTAAGGAGGGTGTCCTGTATTACGATCTATCTTGTGGTGCTGGTCATGAGAACTATACTCTAGAGTTGATGCCTGCCTAACTTTAGTTTAGAACACGAACCCCTGAACCCTAAACCCCTAACCCTAACCCACTACCACACGGACATACCTTCCTAGAGGCTCATACCCTACCCCTTTCTTAGGATACCTAGTTTTATGGTTAGGATCTGTTGCTTAGCAAAGTAGGTACGGCGTAGGGTATGAGTCTCTAGATTTGCCGAATCCCCAACGTAACCTTTTCCATCGCAGAGGGTCCATGTGTCTTAAGGTTTTAGGGTTTCCTTTGAGGGTTCGTTTAGGGATTTCTTTTGGGATGCTTGAAGGGCTCCTTTAAGGGTACCGAAAGGGTGTAGGTATAAGGGTCCGATGTACTATATAATCCAATGTCTATGTTGGCCTTGATGTAGTCCCTATTCAGGTACTTCCAGGGCCCAAGTATACACTCTACAGTAGAAGCCCAAAAGTCGGAAACCCAATAGCCTCAATCCTTAAGAAGAGTACTGCACAGGGACGGTTTCCAACTTCACCTAAACCCTAAACCCCAAGTGAAGGCGTACGTGGACCTGGGGTGATACGTGGACCTGGGGTGAAGGCGTTTTGGAGCGAAGGGACACTATGTTGGAAATTTATGGGTTCTAAGGTTCGTGCTGCAAGAAGCCCTTAAGGGTTTTGGGTTTAGCGTTTAGATTTTAGGGTTTAGGGATCCCAAATTTCTTAAAACAGTATAAACATACAAAATAATGTATGGACTGTTCTACGTTGGGGAGTGGAAGCATTGGTGCTGCTGTTGAGACCTCAGGGATGTGGAACTTGTCTTGGGTTTAGGGTTTATAAGGTCTAGGGTTGAGGTCTTTGCTTCAAGAATGGGACTCATCATAGTTGCAACTACAAGGTATGGATCCCAAACCACTGCAGGACAACCTCCTGCTTGATCCTTCACAAAGAACCTTCGATATTTCTGAAGGACCCCAAACCCCAGTGTCCAGGAGGAAACTTCCAAAACTCACACAGACCGCACACCCTGCCCTACACCCTACCCATAGGCTCCATGGTACAGTAGTTCGTTTTGGTGTTTAGCTTATAGAATTCTGAATATGAGCCCCCAAAACGAACTACTATGGAGCCTCTAGGTAAACCCCGAATCCGCACCCTTGCGAGAAATATCGATAAATGCAAGCGTGTTCTGCTCCACCGGACTGTCTCCCAGCCTTGGACAAAGCCGGCTGCTTCGGACAATATCACTTCGTGGCTGCCTGCGACGGTCCAGGATGGTTGAGGGTTTAATTCGGGTCCATGGTTTACAGGGAACTCCAGAAAGTTGGAATATGGTTTCATGGTAGGATACCCTATAATTTACCATAGAAGGGTTAGGATAATCATATTCCAACTTTCTGGCTTTTACCTTTAAGGCCTGGGTCTAGGGTTGAAGGTGGGGGTCAAGGTTCAAGGTTTGGGTCAGTTTAGGGTTGGAGGGTTCTGGGCTTGGGCTGGAGAGTTAACAGGAACTTTACAACTCGAGGTTTGAGGTTTAGGGTTTGGAGGTTTGAGTTTAGGATGGTTTAGCCTCAGCAGGCTCACCTCCAGACCCAAACCCTACAAAATAGTAGGTGATGATCCCGTAATTATCGGCTCTAACCCTCAAAACGGTAGGTTTCGACTGGGAGCCTCCAATTCCGCAACACCACCCGACGTCAACGGAACTACAAGTGGCGAAGGTCCCGTGGTCTACCCGGGCCTACCCTTTTAGAGATTCTTGTCATGATTTCTAAAAAAATACCCATAGGCTCTATGGTAAATCCTTTCCTGGATTACCTTATAGAATTCTGAATACCCCCAAAAGGAACTACTATGGAGCCTCTAGGTATCCGAATTTAGGCTGCTTGGGCTTAGCCTACCCTAAGGGGTCCTAACACTTTAGGCAACCTCAAGATGTAGGATTTTTCTGAGACCCCAAAGAGAACTAAGGGCTCTTGCTAGGAGATTCCGGACCCTCCTATATTATAAGCCCTAAGGGTCCATGTACCCATATAGAGATACATGGGCCCCAATGTACCTATATAGGGACTACATTAAGGCCAGTGTATATACTATATGAGTACATGGACCCTTAGGGAAGGAGATACCTGGACCCTTAGCCTAAGCCCGAAGCCTCAAGACGCCCCATTCTCCGAGGCCTGAGCCTGCGGCGACCCTTTCCCTGTTTGGGGGTTTAGGGGTTTAGGGTTTAGGGGTTTAGGGGTTTAGGGTTTAGGGGTTTAGGTGTTTAGGGTTTAGGGGTTTGCGTTTAGGGTTTAGGGATTAGGGTTTAGGGGGAGCAGCCACAAGCCAACTTAACTTTCAACCGCAAGCCCTAAACGGCAGCCTAAGGGTCCAAGTACCTAAGTATCATATGCTCTGCAAAATAATAACTTGTACATACAAAACTGCTATCCTAAAGCCGAGAACCTAATTGCTGGGTCCTTTGGACCCTTGGGGGAATGCTAAACCTCCTTAGAGGTTCATGGCTACGCAGGTCTGAATTGGGGATACGTGCACCGATTAGTGTTTAGCGTTTAGGGTTTAGAGTAAAGGCTAGCTGAAACCCTGCCTCTACCAACCCACGAGCCATGAATTGCATCCCCGAGTCGCTTTCAGAAGATCTTCCAAGATGGGTGCCACATCCAGATCAAACCAATCCGACACGATCTGCGTGTATTCCAGCCTTTCAGGAGGTGGGTTGGGGTTCGATTCGCGATCCTTAACCCTACGATATAATGATAAAGTGATATAAGGTTATTGGCATAAAGTGGCTCCAGTAGTACACATTAGCATCAGGTTTCTGTTTAATTATACGTTGTGTTAAACGATAACTACAAGCCCGAAGGTGTATTCTTACTAGCTGCTACGTATACAGCAATGACCTTCAGTATTATGCAAGGGAAATAAAGTAAGGCACCTTACCGGATACCATGCTCTGGAAATGCGACTAGGAGACCCACTCAAGAGGGTGGGGGGGGCGAGTGCTTACGGCAGAATAGGGTGTTGGAGTCTGGAACCTTGCTGGACTATACATGATGAATGGGAATTTGCCTGCGCGGGAATTCTGGAAAGCAAAACCCTTCCGAGAACGGTAGTACAAGCTCAGCTATTCCTTCACACGCACCCGGCAAGCGAAAGAAGTCCGACGAGCGCTATCGCTTAGCGAAGGGCTCGACGGAGGGCCAGCAGGCAAGGAAACCCGGGCAAGGACTGGAACCCTTGGGGTGTGCCAGACTGTTTTGAATAGATCATAGGGACCCTTAGGGCGGTGGGTAGGGGACTACACTTCCTTAAATAGGCCCTATTAAGTCCTTATGATATATATATATATATATATAAATAAATAACATATATATATATATATATGGGTATTAAGGCCCCCTACCCCCTCCCGCCTCCCCTAAGGGCCCTTATGAATGAAGTGACCACAAGTCAAAGCTTTACTTGTCAGACCCAGGTCATGTTTGCCTGTCGTGTGAAGGGCGGATGACTTCGACTGACGTTGCAAACCCGAGGCTTCCTTTAAAGGGAACTCCAGAAAGTTGGAATATGGTTTGAGGGTAGGGTACCTTATAATTTACCATAAAGGGCTGAGGATAATCATGTTCCAACTTTCTGGCTTTTACTTTAAAGGGTTACTATAGGGGTCTATAACAAGGGCTGCTGAAAAGCGCTCTATAAGGGTGTAGGGTTTCGAAGTAAAAGAACCCTAAAACCACTTATCATATACACCCCAAAGTAGTAGCCTACATAACTACTATCCTAAGCCCAAGTACTCAACTGTTGCGTCCTTGGACCCATACGGGAAGGCTTCGGGCAGATTCGCAACCTGAAGCCCGATCCAACAAAACTTAACCCTCAAACGGCATCCGGCCACGAGCACATCAGAGCGCCCTCGATCAACCAAGCCTATCGTTTCCCTGCTTGCCGGGTATCATGGGGAACTAAAGGTTAACATAGGGACTATACTACCCAAAAAGGTTAAAGGTTACCTACTCTACTACTAGGTTTCATGCCAGGCTCCGAGAAGTTGAAATGCCACCATCAAAACAAGACAACAACTGGCACACAATTCAAGTTGCTGAGGTCTCCACTGGCATTTGCCACCCAAAGCCCCGGAGAAGCACATCGGACTGAACTTTTCTCAACCCTGAATATCTTAAACTGTAGGGGGGACTTAATACTATGATATAAGGTCGATTCCCTTAATACAGGGGTATTGGGATCTCAAGATACAGTCATCCAAAGACGCCCTAAACCCCCAACCCCATGCCCTGAACCCTAATCTAAGGCCTACTATATAGAACCCTTATGGAACCATTATGGTACCCTTCCAGTCATGGAGGCAAGCAACGAATTCACTCCCATGCTGCGGCCCATCATCTCCGCCTTCTTCGGGCTGCTGTCCTTCTCATGCAATACACCCAGAGACTTCAAGACCCCTTAATTAAGGAATATGCCTTAAATCATATTAGGGATCCTACTATAGTTTCAGGTATATTCCTATATTAAGGGCTATTGGAGTCTCTGGGCAGAGGCCATTGGGGTCAAAGTCATAGGGTTGATGGGCTATGGGAATTAAGGTATACTCCTTATTATGGGTAGTGCAGGATTTATGACATCAGCCCTTGCATTCAATCCCTTAACCCTAAAGCCACAATTAGCATTTAAAATTTTGGAGCAGGAACCTCGAGGCCTTAAGGAAGAGAATTGATAATTCCATGCCTATAAGCTTTCAGGTGTTCGGGGCTGTGTTTGGGGCGTGTACGAAGTTTGGAAGTGTGGAGGTGCCAGGTACTGGGTTTAAGGTCCAACATCTCCGATGGCTTAGCTTGCGGTCTGGGGTCTGTCGTGGTCTAGGAATTAGGGGAAGAGGATGTTGATTCGTAGGATTTCGGGCTTGCACTCAACTTCTACCCAGATCTTCCAATATCCTTGAGTTGAAGGAATATATCTTAAACTACAGTAGCATCCCCATTAATCATTTGAGGTCTATTCCTTACTTAACGGATATTGGAATATCTGGGGTAATATAGAGGCCTTGAGAATTGCCTATACTATTTTGGGGTTCCGTGTTTTTAAGTACATGGGTCGCAAAACCCTCTTCTAATCATTAAGGCCCCTATGTTACTGGTTTCGCAATCTCTCTGAGGCAAGCTCTGGAGCTCCAAACCTACATGGTGTCGCTCAGTGGACGACTGCGCCCGCCAGGATTAAGGATATAAGGTAGGGGTTTAGGGTTTAGGTTGAGGGTAGTTGTAGGTGTAAGGTTTAGGGATAGGTTTAAGGCTAAATCCCAGACCCTTAAAACACAACACCAAACGACAGGCGCAACACTCCATAACCCAGCACCGTCGAAGGCCTTAGCGTGAGAGAAGATTCCCCCTTAATTGAGGAATATACCTTAAATCATAATATTAAGCCCCCTAGGTCTTAAGGTATAGTCCTTGGTTGAGGGGTATTGGGATCTCTAGGCACCACTGAAAATCTTGTTGAGCGGGAGGAAGATCGGGCTCCGGGGCTCTAGCCCACAGTAAACTCAGAGAGAAAGTGCTCGCCAAATTAGCTGAGTTCCCTTTGCCCCCAAGACCGGCTGGCGGCATTCCCTTGACCGTAGCTTGGTATTGCATTTAGAGAGCTAGAGGCTAGAGGTTGCCAACTCATGTTCTAGGCCACTGAATGGAGCCTCTTGTGGGGGAGGTCCCGTCACCCGATCTCTTTCAATTCCTGTGATATCCTGATGAAAAGCAGGGTGCCTATTGAATCCAAGCCTATAACCCTGCATGGAACCCCTACAAAGCCCCCTGCAAAAACCCAACAAGGCTTGTATAAAAACCTGTCAGTGCGCAGGACAGCCGTAACCTTAAACCCTAAACTTTCAATACCCCCCTTAGAACCATAATACAAATCTTATTTTCAATATTCTCTTGGGTTTTAAATGAACAAATATTAAAAAAAACTCAGGAGACTTTAGCTCTAACAATATACGGAACTCTGTGCCCTCCTGATCCACTCAGCAATAAGATAAACTGTGGTCCCCTATCCCAGACGCAAATAGTAGGGTTTCAGGTCCCAAAACCCGTACTCTGAATGGTTTTTGGACCTTGAAACCCTAGTATCTGGGTACTTGGACCCTTAGGGAAGATAAATTGTGGTCCCTTTTTGGGGTCCCTATTGTAATACGGCACCTGTAATTTAGTGTACCCAGAAAGGGGCCATAGTTTTGACAACTACCCACATGTAACAAACTACAATAACATAGAACGACCTTGGCTCACCGGCAGGAACTTGGCTTCCGGGTTCAAGCTTGGCATAAAGCAGTGGGGATTAAGAATGGGTTTTCTACGGTTTCTGGGCTTCGGATTTATGGCTTTAGCGGTTTGGGTCCGGGGTTTAGGGGCGCAGGGACTGAACGGGGCGCCCAATGCTTTTCCTGCTATAATGTGTCGCGTGCTTGGTCTGAGCCCGAAATGCGAAACAACTAAAGCCAAAACTGACAAATTTAGGGTTTACTTAGAGCTCCGTTTCGGGGTTCATATTTAGAACCCTAAAAGGTAATCCCAAAAAGGAACTACAACTGCACCTATGGTGGTCTATAGAGTAAGTAGCAAGCAGTCCTCCAATGCTTTTGGCTTGGATGGATGCGCTGCCTGCCACGTCAGAGGGTCTTCAGGACTGGTCCGGGCTGTTGGGCTTCAAGGGCTTCGCATGGCTGCTGAATGATGGGGTTTAAAGTTTAGGCTTAACCTTTGTTCTAAGCGGCTCATGCTTATGGGTCGTGAACTACTAGTTAAAGGAAGGTTTTGTAAGGTTCAGGCATCGGAACTCGGTGCTATAGACATTGAAAACAGGTCTGATAATTCATGGGTCCTACTGCGGTGCGCTGCATTATTATCGACCATGAACTTTCAGGTGGTTGATAGAGAATTACACTGCACGATTTGCGGAACATGCCTCTACGCCTTCTACGCAGAAACGTGCGCAGTGCACACGTGCGGCATTCATACACATGTATATTTTGCATGTGTACATGTGTGTATACTTATGACATCCTTGCAGATTTCAACTACAATCCTACCGAAAGACCAAAGCTCTGAACCGGCACTGACTCTCAGATCGTTAAGCACATAATGTTGAGGCCTTGATATTCAGAATAGGGTTTCGTTGCCCAGTAAGCTATCATCCCAAAACTATTGAGGCCCCTGTATAAAGGGTTATCAGTAACACAAGAAGCCCTGCACTGCCCAAAAGCAGCTCGAAACCCTCAGCCGTCGTTGCCGAAAACCAGTGAGAACCGTTGGAAACCAATCAAACCCTGTAGAACCCTGTGCAGTCCTAGAGCACATATCACATATCACACCATCCACAGACAATCCATAAACGCCGCGTGCATTCGGGCTGTAATGCCGTATAAACCCTTCGCAAGCATCGTGACAAACATCTTTCGCTTGCAGAACCTGCGAGGCTGCGACACCTTACGCTCGTGAGGGCCACCCCAATTGAGAAATCTTTCCAACATCCCCTCGTAGATTGAAAGATGTTGTCAACAAAATTACACGACCCTGAACCCCAAACCCTAAGGACCCTAAGCCCGAAAACCCTAACACACTCAGCCCAGAAAATTGCGACCCCCACACCCTAAGCCCTAAACCCTATATTCCCAAACCTCCCGAAGCCCTATATCCCCTAGACCCTTATTCTCCAATCCCCTTAAACCTATATTCCCAAAGCGCCCTAAGCCCTATATCCCCCTACAACCCTCTATGCCCGATACTCCCACGAAGGCCACCTCGGAGCGGGGACTGAACAGCATCTGGAAGGATTCGTCGGCGCTCTGCTGGGTGGATGCCGGGGAAAGCAGGCCACGAAGCCTTCGGATCAGGATTGTTTAAAAAGTATAGCATACATACTGTAGTAAACTTTAAGAGATGACAACAAACTTAAAGTTTACCACATATGTATAAGTAAAACTATAATAACCTACATATGTACGGCTCGAAAAAGGGGGTTCAATTAGGGGATCCACCAAAGGTTCTTCAGGGTTCCAGGTATATAGGGGCTTAAAGGGCTTCGGGGGCTCAGGGTTTCGAGTTTAGGGCGCATTCCTTTCAATTTGTGTTCCTGCTTTTCTGTCGATCTAGCTTTTGTTGGGATCGGACCACCGAATACAAAAAGAGAGAGCTGCAATTGAGAATCTAACCCTAAACCTTACCTTAACCCGGAATAACCAACCTTTCTGAGGAATTCTGTAGGGAAACATATTCCGGAACCCCAAAAAGGTAGGATATTCAGGGTTAAGGTAAACCTTCAAGTTAACAGGTTAGGGCTGTAAGGCCCAGGATCTGTGGCAGAATATAGATCCTTTTGAAGGGCCAAATTAAAGGATGGTGTTAAAGGTTAACATAAGGGTTAATGGTAAGGTTCAATAAAGAAAAATCCGCAAATTCAAAAATGTGTATCTGGAGAAGAAGAGACAGAGCGAGAGAGAGAGAGAGAGAGAGAGGCCGAATAATTAGACGCGGCTCACGGAGTCTACTCTAGTGTGTTTAGAAGTTCCCTAAGGAATAATGTTGGTAAGAATTCGGGCTTCAACAGTGTACGAGACGCCATACTTCCAGGTAAGACAGGCTTTTCTGTCAATCAGAGGCAGGTCCAAAGTTGGAGATTCCAGTCCTGGTTTGGGTTTATAGGGGTTTTGGGGCTTAGGATTTAGGTCTTTGGGTTTTACGTAGTTTTGCGTACATTATAGGGCTTGGGTTTAAGGTTGACGGTTTTAGGTTTAGGGCTTAGGGTGTAGAGTGTAGGGTTTACGGGAACTGGGTGATCGGTTGGATCGCAGCAGAGCTCACAGGCAATGTACGAATTGGGTGTGAGGTACCCTTGAAGGTCCAAGTACCTAATTTCCATATAATACTCCCAAACCTACATAATCAACTACTATCCTAAACTCGAGTATAAGGGTTCTTTGGACCCTTCGGGGCATGTATACCAACCGCAGCTTTGCTGTTAATGGATACAAGTAAGGTCTCGGAACTACTCTGCACCAGAACCCTAAACCCTAGACCCAACCCTAAGGGTCCAAAGGACCCAGGCTACTGTGGTTTCGGATAGTAGGTATGTAGGTTACTATTTTGGAGAGTATATGATAATTAGGTACTTGGGCCCTTACGGTAAAGGTAATGCCTTAGTGCGTCCTTCCCCAAACCTTGAACCCTAAACCTAAACCCTGAACCCGAAACCCAGAGGTCATGCAGGATCTCGCACTTCAATAGTCGTATTGAGACCCGTTCATCCCCGAAACGTGCTAGGAAACGCAAAGTCTCGTCTGATGCCAGGCTCTGTGCTGTTTGCAGAAAGATGAAAATAGATTGTAACACTAACTATATTGCTGCAAAGGCAATCCTATAGTTAGCCTACATTCTCCAAAAAATAAGCCTTTAACCTTTAGTCTACGGTTTAATTATGCTAGACCTGGCAGTATATTCTAAAGCCCTGGCACTAAGATGCCCAGTGGCTTGTGCGCCATGCCAGACAGCGAATGTGAACGCGAAGACTGCTTGCTGGATGTACTCTTCTGTGACCCGTGCCGCCGGACGGACATCGTGGAGTTCTGCAAGGCATGAGGGCATACTATGCCATTTAAATATGTCAAGGTTTATTGAGGGCCCCCCGACGGAACATAATCTGACAGTGCTGTCGCGTGGTACAGGACTTGAATGTGTTTACGGTTCAGGCACTGTGGTTGGAGTTTGAGGGCACGTTCCTCCCGAGGGGAAGGCGTCAACGAGTCATGAGGCAGGGTTTAAAGCTGTACGAAATTTTCTCGTAGATGTAGAAGGCTTTGTATTCCAAGACGATTTGGGGTATCCCATAATACGAGTATATAAAGAATATCAGGGCCACTGTTCCTAATCACTACTACATACTTCTCCAGACCTCTATAATTGCTGGCCCCTGAACCCACAACCCTAAACCCTAAACTCTAAACCCTAGCCTGAAAAGCCTACTGCGGTCTTGCTTAAGTCTTTATGCCGCAGGATATGCTCTCCCCTGACAGACATCTGGAGCTTAGGACGTTTAGGATGTAGGGTTTAGCGTTGCGTTGGTCTTGGGTTTAGGGTTTAGGGGATGCAGGGCTCAGACTTCAGCAGGGTCTTTCCACGAAGAGTCCTTGTTGAGGCCCCTTCTCTTGCCGTATACATCTGCCAGTGACCATTTGACATGCAGGTTAGCCAGGCCCTACCCCAAGGGTCCAAGTACCTAATAATCGTACACCCTCCCAAATAGTAACTTATTAAACAAAACTACTATCCGTAACCCAAGTACCTGATTATTAGGTCCTTTGGACCCTTAGGGTTACATCGGCTAAGACATGCTGCAGATCGAGGGCTGGTACACAAACGGGCTTGGAGCGCTTCCTGACCATGCCCGAATACTCCAATCCCGCCAAGCATGCGTATGAAAAGGAAACCAACAAACCCTAAACGTATCCTAAGAGCAAACCCATATACACTAAGCCTGTAACCCGTTGCTGCTATTGCCTGTACCCCGCTGCATATCCGAGGTTTGACACACCTGGGCTAGGGGTGCATAATGCTTAGGGGCTAGGGTCTAATACAGGAGCTTAAAATGACTGCGATAATTACCAATACTATGTGGGTGTTTTCCTTATAAGTATAGTATACTGGGTCCCAAAACCTTACCAAGCCCCTGTAGTAGACTTCTGGTCAAGATCCTCTTCAACCACAACAAAACCCAAATCTTGGGTCTAGGTAGACGACACATACTTCAAGTCCACCGGGCTAGAATGCTCCACAGTTTCTAAACCCCAAAGCCTACACCCTTAAACCCGAGACCCAACAACTACTCTTGACACACGTTCTGAGACGCGTGATGACTGTAGGAGCCTCGACAATTCGACAAGGGCTTTGGGGTCCTTTACTATAAACAACAATTGAAGTTAAGGCTGTCAAGGAACCCCAAGGAACGGTTTTACTAGTCACATTAAGCCCTGAACCCGCGCAACCAAAACCCTTGTTTAACCTTAAACTCTGAATCCTGCACTACCCTTTCAAGCCCTCTACGGCCTGACTGCTCGTCGAGTTAATGGACGTCATCTTCCTGAACGACCAGTGCTTTAATCTTCATGGGTTAGGAGTAAGTCTGAGAGTTTGAGGTTTAGAGTTTGGGGTGTTTGGTTTCTGTTCAATGGAAGTCTCTCTAAGGGTGTCTTTGCAGGCTTTGACGGGTTCCGTCAAGGGTACTACCGAGGTACCGGGGATGTTTCTTGGTGAGGCCGTTAACTGGCACACTCTCTGTCAGGATTCGGGGCATAAGAGAAGCACCGCTGTAATTCTCATCACGGGTCGCGCAGCCCTACTTCTCCCATGAACCCTATAAACCCTAAACCCTATACCGTGAAAAATGCCCGTTCCCGTACAGAGGGATCCCCCGAACCGAAGCTCTGAACACACCAAAAACACGAAACCAAACACAAGAACGCGAAGATCCTCCCCAAAAGAGAACAGGCCAGGCGCTACTGGGAGGTTCATGGGTAGTTATAAGTGGACTGTTAAGTCTCACCTAATATTGGTTATAATTAGAGTTACCCTACTTATAACTCCACTAATAACTAACCATGAACCTCCAAGTAAACCCAAACCCCTACCTCAAGCTGCCACAATCTCCTTTCCTGTAGGTTCTTATTATAAAACTCAGCCATCGACTTTATAGGGGCCCTTCAAAAAACTAAAATTCAATTGCTCAATGTAAACTATGCTGAACTTGGCACCCTTGCAAAAGTTGCTGTAATTAAAGCCGTTTCCTAGGGCTTATGGTAGGCAAAAAAAGACTATTTCCAAGTACACCTAAGATAACCCTTTATATAAGGAATACACCCTACACTACAATAGTAGCCTATTTTTTGATGTGTGGTATTTTACCCTAACCCAAAGGTCCAAGTACGTAACTATCATATCCTCCCCAAACCACAAAGCTACACAACTACTATCCTAAATCCGAGCACCCAAATACGGGTCCTTTGGACCGTTAGGATAAGGGATTTGGGTGTTTCAATAGGGGGCCCTGATACAGTACCCTAAATAACAGGATCCTTATTATAAGGACCCCAAGTGAGGTACCCCTAATGTTCGGAAACTCCCATTTAAGGAAAGGGCACCTCCAGTCAGAGCAGCGGCAGCACTCCAGGGCCCCAGCAAGCTCCACGAAACCTCAGATTTGGGAGGGTTGGGCTTTGGGGGTTAGACTTTGCCTTAACCCTGAGTAACCTCTATACCTTTTTAGGGTTCCCTATTATGATTTCCTTCTATAAATCCTTCAAAAGGTAGGTTCTTCTGGGTTCAGGTACTGGAAAGAGGCTTCAGGGTTCAGAATTTGGGCTTCAGAGTTGATCCCACGACCTGAAACCTAACCTTGGTGTTCAGGGTTTTTGCAATGTTCGGGCTCAAGCTCAAATAGTAGTTTGCAGGTCTGGTGTTGGCGGTGGGTTGTTCGTTCCTTATTGGCTTCGATGCACGTGTGGTTGAGTCAAGTTAGGGCTTATTAACTTAGTGGCTGAGTTCATAAGCCCCCAAAAAGTGTACACTTTCAGTTTAATAGTGGTTGATATTATGCCAAAAAGTGTAAAGTGTATCCACTCAGCTACTAAGTTAAACATATAATTATGTTGTTTTTAGGGTCCAGGGTAAAGGTTCTAGAGTCTTTGTTGTGGCTCATTCAGAAATGCGGGGCGGGAGGATAGGGCTTGAGAGTCCAGCGCGTGCTCATGAACTTCAGCGCTTTGGGAAAGGATGCTGGGGCCACCCGTGACCAGAAAGGCTTGGCAAGAACATGTCATGTGACACCCGAATTACACCCCTTACTTTGAGACGTATACAACTCAAACATTGAGTAGCCAGCCCCAAAGCCAAATCAACTCCCAACCCCTAAACCCACAAGCCCACATCCGACATAGAGTTATGCATCAAACGTGAAGGTGCAGAAACTAGTATTGTGCAGATTCGAACATCATTCAAAGTGCACTTTTCAATATCAGCATCGCTCTATCATGCATACTGCAGCTGATTACGGAGACTTTTTACATTTTGTGAAACGATTACAAGTCTAGGCATGTACACGCCAGGTATAATACTACATAGGTCATCTAGTCCTCGTGTATCATAGGCAGACATACTGCAACGACAAGCCGAAGACGGTAATATACAGTAATGCATGTTGATGCGTATGTCAGGCATACTTGTCTGCATACCTACGTGCGCGCCTACATACCTTGCTAACAAAACACTTGCGTACTTGAACAACTAAGGCCCTAAACCCTGATTGCAATAGATTTGTCTGCCTGATGCTCTGCCTGCTTCCCGTTTGTGTAGATAAGCGCACGTGTCTCTGTGTCTGTGTGTGCTTTGTTGCTTGCTTGTTGTTTGCTTGTCTTCCTAGACCAAAAACCCTGAGCCCCCCAAAGGCCCTAAACCCCAAGCTCCAAACCCTGAAGCCCCAAGTGCAGATTTCGACGGGTAGCCCAACTCATTGGCAAGGGTGATCCAAGGCTGGAAGAACTTCCTCAGACTCGACGGCCGCACAGGCCGGCGCAAAGTTTAGGAGTTTGGTTTGCGTTCGGGTTTAGGGTTTAGGGTTTAGGGCCGTTTAGGTTGTAGGTTTTAGGGTTTAGAGAAGGGGTCCAGAAGTTTGGGCACGGGTCTAGGGCTTTTTACGATTTAAGCCCGCAGCGCCAAAGAACCTACCTTTCCAGGGCTTTCGCCAAGTAAGCCTTCACAGGGAACCCTAAAACGGTAGGTTTTTTGAAGTTCCATGGTTTCAGATGGGACTAGGGGTTAAGGGTTCATTTAAGTCTTGAAACTTTAGCACAAGTTCGAAACTGTGCTGCATGCAAAACTGCTGTATAACGGAGCACCGACTACAGGAGCCTTGGTCTAGAAATCACACCAGCCTAGAGCCAAACCCTCGGAAGAAGGTGGTGCTGTGAGTTGGCATGTTGTCGGCGACTGCAATCAGGATACGAGCCCCGCTTCATGCCAAGGAGGTGCAAGCATCTGACTTTCGCCAAATATGCACAAGCCACGCAGTCGGCCGAGCACGTTGCATGTGCGGCTGGTAAAGGGACTGAAATCCTTTGGTTTCGGGTTTAAGCAGCCAATCACGACGGCATGCTTTCCGACTTTAGAGATAGAACTTAGGATCAACGCCTAGCCCAAAAAACAGCAACCTTGCTTAGGGTTTAGGAGTTTTGGGGTTTGGCCGCACCAAAACAAATCAATCTGTGAAGGTGAAACCGTGCTGATGAGCTACCCAACATCCCAGTGACATAGCCCAGCCCCCTGTTAATTATGGCTGATGGATAACCCAGCCTGGAATCCATAAACCTCAAACCAATCCCTATAAAGCTCTACTTCGAACACCGGCACCACAAAACATGATGTAAAACCCAACAATCAGTTCCACTTAAAACCCCGGAACTCTAAATCCAAGCCCCAAACCCCCCAAAACACTAAACCTTTATGAAACGATAGGAAGTCCCTTGGAGTAACCTTGTCTGCAACCTTTTAGCAGCCAAAGCCTAAACCCTAAACCCTATAAAAGCCGAATCGCAAAGCCCTTCTTGCAGGACCCGATACTCTAAACCCTGCAACCCTCCCTAAGGCAGCCCTTACACGGAAGCCCTGAAGCGACCCGAAGAAGGAGACTCTAAAGACCGAAGCCACGAGTCTTATGCAAGTGTGGGCTACGGCCGGCGCGGAAAGCCATACCTGGTTTTAGGGTTTAGGGTTTTGGGGGTTTGCGGGTTCTAATGATTTGGGGTTTTGGAGTAAGAGTTTAGGGTTGTGGGTTTTGGGGTTCAGGGGTTTTAAGGTTTCACGGTTTGGGATTTAAGGTTCCTTTAAGGGCTCCTCAAAGGGATCTATTCTAAGGGGTTGGGTTTCAGGCTTCCTTCAGACTTTCAAATAGTGAGGTCGTGGTCACGTACCTGGGTGGTCAGGTTTTGTAAAGACTTTTTCCAACTGGTTCAATTAACAGTTCCTTTTAAAATGTCCTTGCACGGTTCGTCTATAAACAGTTCTTTCAAGCCTATGAGCCCCTCAGACCCAGAAACTTACCTTTGGTTAGCAGGGAATGGAAGAATGGTAGTATATAATATTAGTTATAATGGTACCCCAGTCCTCCATTCCCTACTAGCCAAGGTAAGGAATAAGAAAAAGTGCGTTTTCGCTAGCAGCCCTTTGTGGTTTACACCCCGAAGCCTTCGAATCGGCGGGGAGCCGAGCCGACCTCTGCACTCATAGCAATGCGGTTGATGATATCAATCCTGCATTACCCATAATACGGAATATATCGTAATTCCGATAGTCTAGGGTCCAATTAAGGTATTGCAGGAGACATCCATCGTAGTTAACATAAAATTTAAGGTTTAGGGTTTGTGGCCTTTGGGGTCTAGGGCTGAGGTTACAGGATGTAAGGATTACCACTGTTACTACTACTACTACTACTACTACTACTACTACTACTACTACTACTACTACTACTACTACTACTACTACTACTACTACTGCCGCTGCTGCTGCTACTGCCACTGCCAATGCCACTGCCACTGCCACTGCCACTGCCACTGCCACTGCCACTGCCACTGCCACTGCTACTGCTACTGCTACTGCCACTGCCACTGCTACTGCTACTGCTACTGCTACTGCTACTGCGACGACTGCTACTACTACCGTGCCCGCCAATGTGCCTCACCATAACCTACCCTGTCCCCACTTCAACCTTATCTTACCTTTCCAGGGAAGAGTACAGGTCTATATCCTACCGCATTCTTTGCCCTGTCTTCCGGTGCCTGGGCTCAGAAGCTGGCAACAAACGACCAAGCTCCGCGAGAAGAGCGTCACCGAGCCCGGGCTGAAGTGTTTCTTTTTGGAGGGCCGTTAGAAACTGGCTTCAAGAAAGGGTTCAGGAACTTCAGGTTCTTCAAGCACTTCCCGGGATCCATGTTGACTCCTTCCGGAACGTGGCCGTCCCTAACCAGGAACCCCAAGTCCGAGCTGAGGTTGTAGTAATGGATGGATGCCGTTTTGTCGTTGCAGACCCATTTGCGATTGGATCCCAAGGCCACCGTAGCGGTAGCTTTCTCCAAACAAAGTCTCCTTGAAGCCCGAGGGCAAGCTCTCTTCGTCCAGAACTTGCATGGCTCCCTTCAAATGCTCCTTTCCGGGCTTGCGGTCGGAAAGATTGTAGCCAAAACGCGTTTTTGGACCTAACTTCGAAACGCTGCCACGCTTGTGGGAAGGCGACATACAGATAGAGAACTCTAGATTCTAGATCTGAAGGGGTACACCCTGAAACTCACTTAAAGGCTCATGGGACTTGTAAGTAGGGTCATAATTGGGGCTATAAGTGCCCTAAGTGGGGCTATCCTAGATGTAGCCCGGAGCCCTTTCTGATAACCTGACTTGATAAGCCCCTGGGCCTTCAAGCACTCCCGACTCCGCTTTCGTCGGACCGGCAAGAAACCCTTTCATTCCCATATCTTCCAACATGCTAATCGAGGATCGCCCCTGTTATTCAAGTTAGGGATCCTATATTCCTGAGTTTAAGTAAGGGGGGATATTGGAAGATCTGACACTTTGAGACATCGTATGTTGTTGCGGTGTATCATGTGCGGTGAAGTCCAGCTCTCAGAAGCCATGAAATCCAACGACGGGTTTAGGGTTGGGTTTATAGAAGCAACACAAACTGAGACGGTGTGCTGCGGGCCATGAGGGCCACCACCGTGGCCTGCATTTCATGCGGACATTGGATGGCTCTGGGGCTCATGCTTGAAGCTTTTTGGGTTAAGGGTGTAGGGGTTTTCGGTTGTGGGAGCTCCGGGGTACGGGGTTCAAGGTCTTGGGCTTAGGGCTCAGGGTGTAGGTAACAGTGCTTGAGGTGAGGTCAAGGTCTGGCCGCTCGTGTTGTTTGCGGGATGCTTTCATGCGACCTACAGTTTCCCTAAAGCTCAGGTGGGCATTAAACCGTTGAGCTTATGCAGCCTCGGCGGAATTCTTGCAAAACACTGCAAAGCTCCAGACCACCAGACCACGTAAACCCTAAACCCCGACCTCCCCCTTGCCGCAGGGCCAGTGTAACGGCAAAAGACTGTAGAACTCATCACTGAAGCTCGATTCTGGCCCTGCTTACTTCGGGGATGAACTCAGAAGGTGCTCCGTAAGTAGGCAGAGTTTGGGGTGCAGATACTTAAACCCTAAACCCCTAAACCCTAAACCCTTAACCACGAACCCCAAACGGCCCTAACCCCTACCCCCACATTAAGCCCGAAGCATGGTAAACGGGAGCTCTGAGGCGTTTTACGGACGCTATATACCCAGAGACTCCCAAAACCCCTTAATTAAGGAACATACCCTGAATTATAATAGGAGCCCTAATATGATTTAAGGTCCCGTAATTCAGGAATATACCCTAAATTATAATAGGAGCCCTAATATGATTTAAGGGTCTATTCCTTATAATTAAGGGGGTTTTGGAAGGTCTGGGGGTACCCCCCTTGGACTCCAAATAGCCCGAACTCAAAGGATCCTGGGTAGTGTTATGGGGGATACTTCCCCTTCAAGGGCTCTGCTAGGGTTCCTTTAAGGGTTCCTTTAAGGGGTCCTTGTGGTACTGTTGTGGGGGATACTTTCCCAAATCATACTGATCCTACTTATGGAAACCCTACATTCTACTAAAAGGTACTTGGGACCTTTTGGGGAAAGTACGTGCCATTTATTTGTAGACTTTAGACCCCAATAAAGGAGTCTTAGGGTACTGTTTACCTGGGGGCTCCAAAACCCTACCGTTTCAAAGGTTCTACCCTCTGGTTAAGGGGGCAAAACCTACCATTCTAAAGGGTTTGGGGTCACAGGTAGAGCTCTATATGCCTAGAAACGAATCGGCCGTGAAGTGCGGGCCTGCACCAAGGTTTCGAAGGCTTCCGTTGACACATAGTCCGCTTCAATCTTGGCCTTGCGGAGATGTGACATGGGGGCCTTAAAACTTTAATGGGGTTTGGGGGCCCATTGTACTATAATTGTTATAAGGAACCCTTAGTTAAACCTGCAAAACTTCACCCTAAGGGTCCATGTACTCATATAGTATATACATTAGCCTTCAAAGTATATACGATTGGGTGAATAGGTGGAACCTCAGGGTACGTAACACTGAATGCTTTGAAGAAGTCGGAATCCCTCAATGTGAAGCCGCTGGTCCGCAAGCCCTCAAGCCCTCGAGTATCGTACTCTGCACATGGCCAGTCCACATAGCTCCTGCGAAGAATTTAGCTGTGTAGCGTGCGACTACATGGTACTCGAATGTTTCGATGCCGACGCCCTACAGTCCACCCCACAGTCTGAATGCAAAATGGCTTAGAACAGCCCGGAGCGTGCGAAAGCCAGCCTCATGCCAATCCCACGCACGACAAGCGTCTTCCTAAACTCCCTGAGCTCAAAACCCGAAGTACATCCAAATACTCCAATATAGGGGCCTTAGAATCGGTTTTGGGGCCGATTCTACTATAAATATGAATGATCAGGAACCCCCAAAATAGTATAGGTAATTATAGGTCCCTATATTGCAGGCTTCGAGCCCTGTGCCTGCTGAAGATGATAGTCAAGAACAAGTCTCACTTGCAGGGTCTAGCGTTTAGGGATTAGCGTTTAGGTTTAGGTCTGGGGTCGGATGCAGGGTCAAGGGCTCAGAAGGATCACTACCTCGGTGTATCCTCGGTTACCTCATGACTTTCTTGTCATATTAAAAGCTAAACAAGCAAGAAACTACAATGGACAAGCTAGGCAGAACTTAACAACAGCTTAACAACCCTTGACCTTAATCCCTGCTGGGCGACAAGTCCCTTCTGGGGGATGGGCTTCCTTTAAACAAAGTCTTCCATTCAAAGGGCTTTTCTTGCGGACTGTAGGCAGAAAGCATTTCTAAGCGAGGGTTTCTTGCCCTCATAACGAAGTGCGACCTTCATTTCATAAGGTCTTCTGAGGGTTTCAGACGGTTCGATAGGACTGACTAGGGTATCACCACATGCTGTAAGGTTTACAGACCCTGATAAAGCATAAAGCCCCTTTACAGCATTTCCTTAAACCCTGGCTGTAAATCTTAATCCCGGAATACTAAACCCTGAACCTAGTTGCAAACCCAAAACCCTGAATCACTACATACTAAACCTCTGAATCGCTACGTTGAAACCCTAATCAATTCCTTAAACCCTGGCTCTCAACCTTAACACCTGAATCCTAAACCCTGAACCTGGCTGTTTGACCTAGCTAAAGCATCCCAGCGCCCTGAACTCCCAAAACAGCCCTTCCCCAACTGGCCTCGAGCACTTTCCGGTCCTCCTCAGCAAAGCCTGGATCATTGGGCTCGGGTTGCGCGTTTAAGGGCATAGGGGTTTGAAGTTTACAGGTTGAGAGTTTAGGGGTTTAGGGCTGACTGGTTTAGGGCGTAAACTCTGCTCCAATAACAGGGCAAAAAAGCTGGAACTTTGTAAGATAGACCAAATATATGAGGCCAAAACGCTTAAAGTTCTCCCATTGGCTATCTAGTTTAGGTTTAAGGCTCACGGATTCCAGGTTTAGCATTTAGGGCTTCCAAACCCTTTAAACCCTGAAGCCCAAAACCCATCGTGAGCTGAACTCGGTTGATTGCAAGATGGCTTAAGGTTTGGAAAATGTAGAATCTCAAGCTTTCGTATTTTCTACTCCCCTCACTGCCAAAATATGCCGTATGAGGCTTACTAAGTACGATTATCCGTATCCTACATCTAAGAATGCGTTGAACCCGTGCGGTCACGTACAAACTGCGAGCCACGTCGAACCGACCCAGGCGAGATGCATTTGGTCTGTTTCAGCGAGAAGTGACGCACTGCATCCAGGTACCTCGGATCAACACAGGACGAGCGAAAAAGCAACGTCAAATAACAGTGACATGAGAGTAGTGATGATAATGATGATGATGATGATGCTCTGAGCCGTACAATCCGATCTCTGCAAGCTGGCAAGTCCTAGAGGCTGCTAATTCTCGCTTGCATGCAGGCCCAAAGAGACTTACAAGTAGACCTGTAACTCTTGTTGCACCTACATACCTGGTGTACTACCCCCATCCTGTAACAGTCCATATAGGGGCCAGATTAAGGGCTATATGGCGTCATATTGTGAATCTTTCCAACCGTTGCAGAGTAGGGGCAGTGTTTTAGGTGCCTTAACCATTAGAATAGGGTTTTGGGTCCCGTTATACTATAATGATAAAAGCGAACTCCCAAAATAGTATAGGTAATTATCAAGGCCCCGATGTTATATCCTTGTCATGGCCCTTATAGTAGCCCTTGTAGACCCCTGTAAAGGAGCCCCATACCTGGCCATAAAGCCTCGAGACCCGCAAGCCTTTCTCACAAACTGCTTTCGTTCGCGGCCATTCCCAAACAAAGGGTCCTACGTGCTGTTATACAGGATACTGCCCCAAATCATAACAGTAATGCTTAATACTTATAGGTACTTTGGACCCCTTGACTAGCCGAAAGAGTTTGAGACGGGGATCACAAGACAGGCTGGGTTGAACATGGCACTTCGAACATGGGATCAACAAAAACAGCCGAACTTTGACACGTATTGTGCCACGAGCTACGCATTAAATCCCATGATCCTTCAAGTAGGCAACCAAACCACGTAGACCCCCAACATTAAAGTCCTTTAGCCTACATCCCGAACTTTCGTGGCCTAAATAAATACCAATACTATTTGGCGGTTCCATTTTATCTTTGTAGTATAATGGGCCCCAAAATCCTATTCTAATTGCTAAGGCCCCTTTCTTATAGAAGCCTATTATAGATCCCCCTAAATACAGTACCCTTATAGATCCCTTGTAGACCCTTGTATAGGATCCCCTTGAAGGGAACCCTACTCTAATTGTTAATAGTTGAAGCTATATTCTAGTACCCGCTCTTTTGTGTAACCCTTATAGACCCTTTGAAAGGAATCCTTTAAATGGAACCCAACTCTAATTATTATGGCCCCTATATGGGTGGTTGTCAATATCAGGGTCCCTTGTTGGGTCCCTATTATAATACGGCACCGAATATTTAGGGTACCCCAAAAAGGGACCATAATTTTGACAACCACCCATATCCCTAAACCCTAAACCCTGAACCCTACTCTAATCATTATGGCCCCTATCTTAGTCAAGGCGGCAGGGGCAGCGTCTCCTCTTTCACGAAGAGCTCCGTCTGAAGGAAGACCTGCACAGAGATTTCCAGGATAATGTAGGGGCCTTTTCGGGCTCTGTAGGGGTTACTGCAAGGGATCGATAAGGGTATAGTGACTATCCTACAATGTAGGGGATGAGTAATTAGAATAGGGTTTCGGGGTATGTTATACAATAATTCTAATCAGGAACCATGAAAGAGTGCTGGGGGAGGCCTGAGTCATCGGGGTTCATAAAACTAAGTGGTCCAGCCAATGACCCACGGTCATGCTGCTCTCGCTGCTGGTCTCGTTTGAGACGTATATGAACCAGCGCACAGAAACTCTAAAGGGAACTCCAGAAAGTTGGAATATGGATTGATTAATGGTAGGATCTCCTATAATTTACCTTAAAGGGGTTAGGATAATGATATTCCAACTTTCTGGCTTCTACTGTACGTTCAAGTCTCAGAATCTAAACCTGGCACAGAAGTAGGGGCTCTAACAGGCGACGAAACATACTGACCAAACCTGGACAGGACACCTAAACCCTTTAGGTTTATCAAGGATAGTTTCAGCAGGGTTGTGGGAGTTCAGGTTTATGAGGGGTAGTTTAGAGATTTAGGGCTTTAGGAGCTTACGGATGCTTTTATCTCCATGCACCCCGCCTTGCAGGATAAAAGCTTAACATATCGATTCCGAAGGGCTTCCACCGAGACATTGAAGGCACAGAAATGTGACTTTCTCGAGCGGTCGCCAGATCTTTCGATCTTTAGACCTTCCAATCCCAGGACCCCCCCCGGAAGTATTCCGGGTACATGTAGAGGGCAGTTGGGGGGTATACCTGGATCCCAAATAACCGACCTTCTGAAGGACCTATTTGAGGAAATCATAACTTCGGGAACCTTAACAAGGAAGTTTTTATGGGGTCCAGATAGGTCTGGAGGAGCCCAATGGTTGAATGAGTACTCGTGGTCGAAGCAGGTGTCTCCGGACACTGAAGCCGACAGACGAAATTCAGCATCAATGTTCAAAGTTTCAGCCGTATCTGCCTTGCGAGAACACGTGCAGATTCAACGTGAGGTTGGTGACTTCTGGTGATGGTATAGTGCCCTTCTGCACGTGCCTGCGAATCTTGCGATCGCCACCAGTAAGCTAGTCCTTGGAAACATAGCCGCTGATGCCGTCCCATGCACGGGTGTGGGGATGATTTGCCCTGCTCAGCGTTCCACTGAACTTACATTAGGTCATTAGATTCCTGTAGTTTAAAAGTGTGAAACTCCCAGAAAGGAAACATGTAGAGCCTTACCACCACAAAAGCCAGACAAGACCGTCTACAACCTTGTGCACACATAAATGTGTTTCTTTTCTTGAATCCCCCGGCGCGTACCTTGTGAGGCGGCTTGGATACGAGAACCTCAGCAAGGGGGGTTCGGGCCTTAACCTAGAGCTCGGGGGTTTAGTGTTTAAGGCTCAAGGTTTAGTGTGTGGGGACCAGGGTTGCAAGCTGTCTCAATACGGGAGTTTCCGAAGATAGGGAACCTAAATCTAGTACCCTAAATAGTAGGATCATGATTCTAAGGAGCCCAAACTAAGGTACCCCGTATTTTCGGAACCTGCCATACCCCTCCAACACGTGAATCACTCTCTCAGGAATCTTAAGGAGGCTGGGATAGGCCTTGAAGTTTCCATAAGGGTTTAGCTTGGGTTCAGGGTTTAGGGTTTAGGGTATAGGGTTTATAAGGAAACTACGAGGGTTCCATAAGGCTACTATTGAATGGATAGTCTCCATATAAGCAGGCACCCAATGGAAGGTTGCCGCAGCATCCTTGCGATCAGACCCTACCCGCAGTCTCCATTGTAGTTCCCTTTCTTGGTTTAAACAAAATTATACTTTGGATCCCAGGTAAAGACGGACAAACCCCAAACCCTAAACCCTAAAAAACCCTAAACCCTAAAAATCCCTAAACCCAAAACCCTAAGCCCTCAATCCCAAAGCCCAAACCCAAAGCCCTAAACTCAAACCCCAATTCCTAGGGCTACTTGGAGGGTCGGGGGACCTAGTAAGTATTACGACTTTAAGGTGCCCGAAAAGCAATCCTAGTTAGGGTTATCATACTTATAGGTTAGAGTTATGATTTGGGACAGGATTTGGGCCGGGGTTGACCGTAAACCCGAATACCCTATTGAGGTTTTGCGGTTCGGGGGCCAAGGGCGAGGTTTTCGGGGTACAGCAACTAAACTCATATATCTATCTATCTATCTATATGTATATATAACTCAGCAACCTTATAGGTCAAAGAAATAACCATACATGTTCACCCCAGGTGTAGGGATACCCCTTTGAGAGATCCTTTAAGGGTTCCAGGCTTAAGGGTTGATATGCCCATGTAGTATGTACTTTGGCACCGGAGTGTAGCAATATAGGGGGAATGTGTTAAGGCGAACCCAAACCCCTTGCTCCAGGCTTCAAGTGCAAGATACCCCGTATGCGACCATAGATGGCTCTCAGATTGCATGGCGCCGGACTCAGAGTTCCAAACTATGCCATAATTTCTCCTGGTTATGCTGGATGCAGAGTTTGGCCCTCAGCAGAATAACCACCAAACATAGCTGGCTTGACAGGGGAGAGGTATGGCCTACCCATGTAGTGCCACCCGAAAACTGGTGGCCTGGACCAGCGACATTGGCTTCTACTGGTGAGCTTAAACCCTTGTAATTAAGGGTCCATGTGCCCAAACAGTATATACTTCGGCCCTTATACGTACAGAGACTACGTTAAGGCCAAAGTATATGCTATTTGGGTACATGGACCCTTAGGGAAACGGGAGCTGGACCCACTGGATGGACTCGAAGTCCGAAGTGCATGTCATATCATCTAGGATTATGGTGTGTATCATCTTGAGTAGAGCAAACTCCAAAGGATGGGATTGCTCTACGTGCTTTGGAACTACGGAGAGTCGTTGCACCAGATTCAACATCTGATTCGGCCATGTCGCACCTCCTGAAACCACTCCACTGGCCATAGCTATAAAGAGGCCGTCAGGTGGTACTACAGCATGGTTCAGCGACAAAAGATTGGGGTCCATGCCAGACACGGCCTCATTTGCACCTCGCTTTCATGATTTTATATATGGGGACCCGAAAAGCTCCTAAACGAAATCTATGAGGTTGTGGTATCCCAGAAACCAGCCGTAATGCGACACGTACGCCGCACGCATATGCGTGCTTGCCTTTGGGTTCTTGATTGTAACCCAGTCAACTATACGCCAACACCTCAAAACGAGAGCCACTGAATGCCGAGGAGCGCAAGCCCATTCATACCTTGGCTTTGCGGGAAGGTTAGGGTTTAGGGCTGAGGGCTTAGAGTTAATAGTTTAATTTAGGATTAGGTGTTTTGTGCGGTTTAGGTCCTAAGGGTCCAAAAGCTTGTCTCTACCATGGGAAAGACTAAGACCGCACTTGTGGAGCCGAAGCGCTTGTTAGGCTCTTGAAACCCAAAGCCAGAAGCTCTCTCCGATATATGGGTGGTTGTCAAAATGATGGTCCCTTTTTGGGTACCTTAAATACAAGGTGCCGTACTATATTAGGGACCCAAAAGGGCACCATAAGTTTGACAACGAATACTGTTGAGGGCCGGGGGCCCAGTCTTTTCATGCAGGGGTTGCAGTGTTTACGGTGGTTGGCTTCCTTGCATAGGCTCGGCTTTCAAGAAGGTGTCGGAGAAAACTCTGAGGGTCAATATACTTGCCCAGAGAGCTCAATACCCCTCAATTAAGGAATATCCCTTCAGTAATAATGGGCTGAATATATTATGGCTTGACATATACTGCTTAGAAAAGAGTTGTCGGGCTCTTTGGTGCGCAGTATAGACTGTGGTCCGAATGCCATGTTTATGGGAAACCCGTTAAGGCGACAGTATAGTTGCATGACGGGAATAAATGCGAGAAACACACAACATATTGTCGCAAGCCCCAAGATGCCGATAAGGTCTGATACAACGATCTCAAGAAAGCTAAACTAGCAACATGGACCCCTTGGGTAAGCTTCGAGTTTGCGGTTTAGGCGCCGCCTTAAATTGCTTCAGAAGCCCCACCCAAAAAAACAGTGCCAGAATCAGAACGATTCGAGGGTAGAGCTCAAGGCATATAACCCTTATGAGGGTGGGACTACACTTGCTTAGGCAGGCCTTATCAGGTCCCTATTTGAGGTGTGCTGGAAATCTCTCAACATGACCCGGACCGATAGGTTCGAGGTAGCTCTTCAGGACGATGCTTCATTGACCAAAGTTTAGCCTGTGGGGGTTTAGGGTTGACAAGTTTAGGGTCTGGGGGGTATCAAACTGCTAGGTTAAGTTCCTTGCCAGAACTTCAAGGCGTGCCCCAACCGCCCGAGATGCACACACCACAAGCGCTCGAGGTATGTCCAGGTGAAGATCACACACCTCGGGATTTCAGTTGCAGACTGCTAGCTTTCATAGGGGCGTTTAGGCGGGTAGGGGGGAGGGGGGGTAAGGGACCGTAATGCCTATAATAAGGACGGAATAAGGCCTAAGAAAGTATAGTCCCCTGCACCCCTGCCCCCTACCCCCCCCTAAGGGTGCTTACGAAGCTTGAGAATTTCAATGCGTGGACAAGGTGACGGCAGTCAATGTATTGACAACTCCGGGGCTTGGGAAACCGAATTCAGTGTAATTATTGCTGCACTTTCTGAGCAGTATTATCCATTGATGATGTCACATGACGTAGGAATATCGAAGTAGGCTAAACTTCTTGGGAAATTTGCCCCTGGGGTCCAAAGACAAGAAATCATAAAAAGTTTCCCTCACAAAAGGCATCAAGTTCAAACTCTCCTGCAACGAAGAGTTTCCAGTTCTCCTCAAAGAGTCGTGCAGCGAACGGTTCGACCTAGAACTCTGTCGATAAATCCTGAGCAGCCCTAATTCCTAACCCTGCGCGTCCAAGTGCCTAATGATCATAGGCTGTACTCTCCCACATAATTACTAACCTAAAAATCATCTTAAGCACCCCGGCACCCTATTATTCGATCCGGCGGAGCCCTAAGGTAAAGTTACTTTGTCAAGTTTAGCTTCAACCCGTTGCGGATGCATTGCAAACTTCAAGCTCATGTCCCAACATCATGCACCAACCGTGCATTCGCCACTCTGCTGTCTTAGGGCTTTAGGGTTTCAGGGGCTTGGACAGCTGCGGAGAGACAAGGTGCGAATTGCAAGTCAAGGAAAATCGGTGAAGTTCCGAGGTTTGGCGGTACAGAGCACGGGGAAGGGATCGGTTCAACCAGCTGCGTCACAAGTGCAGACACCTTAAGTGCCTACGTAGTTTGTATAATGGAGTCCCAAATATGTTACTTATAATTAGTATTTCGGTAATTGACACTGGGCTTCTTCAGGCTGCTCTTTGTATCCCAGGTCTCACGTTTTTGTTTTTTTTTTCGTAGGCTTGCAACGATGAAGAAGGCTAGGAGGGGCTTTTAAGACCTTTGAAAAATATTAGTAGGTAAGATCCTCTTAAGCCCAATAAGAGAAAATACAAAATGTCCCAAAGCCCTACCTAGAAGGGCAAGTTTCAGAGTTGGAGGTAGGTCGGCCCTCGCACTCGAAATTCCGGCCGAGGCGCATCGTGTCGCACTTTTCCAGAAACTTTTCCAGCAGTCCGATGCCTAGCCTTGACTTGGCAAGTCAGCATCCGGTTTTGGGTTTTGGGTCGGGCTTAATTTTCAAAACTGTTTAGAGTCAGCGGTCTCCCTACAAACGCTGTAAACCCTAAACCGTATGAGAGTAACTGGCCTCATGGGCCTGATGGCTTCAATGCTATATACATATATATATGTATATACATATACACATATATATATATATATATATATATATGTAGGCTATAGGAGGTTCGGATCTAGTTGGGGGTTAGGGGTTCAGTCAGGACCGGTGCTGAGGAGTTGGAGTTGAAGTTTACGGCTGCCTCAAAAGCCGGATAGCTCCCTGAATACCCGCAGACCTACGTCAACATGGACACTCCTCACCTTGAAGCAACTGAGAGGGTCCATGTATACTGTCATTCTGAAACCAGGCCGGACAGAAACTCTTTTTGGGACCTGGTTCCATTCATCCATACAGACAAGGCATACGGACCTTGTTACCCTGGGGATCAAAATACCGGCAAAGCCGTATATAGCATGGTCTTAGAGGCCCAAAAGCCTTGCTATATGAGTCCTTGGAGCCCTAGGGTTATTCTAGCGAAGATGCTCAGTGTCAACTGCAGAGGGTGGAGGCCTTGAGTTGCGAGTTTTCAGGCTCAGGGCTGCGGGTCTAGAGTCTATATAGGGCTTCTACTTAAAAAGGGCTTAGGGTTTGTGTTTGAAAGGGTTTAGGGGTTGCATTTAAAAGGGTTTAGGGTTTGTATTTAAAAGGGTTTAGGGTTTGTCCTTAAAAGGGTTTAAGGTTTAGGCTAAAACGGTTTAGGGTTCAGGATTTGAAGGCCTTTTCCGGCTTGGGGATCCGATCTGATCGGTACTTTGCAGTTCGATGCAGAGAGGAGGGCTTATCATGAAGATGAAGAATGAACCTGAACCCTACCCTAAGGCTCCGAAACGGGTCATGGGCTTTCTGGGGCAAGGGTTTGGGCTTTGGGGGCTAAGGTTTGGGATTTCACTACGAGGGTCCAGGAGCCTTAGTTTAAACCCTAAACCTCTATCTCACATCCCGTGCTCGATAGCCTGGGACTCCTGAATCAGCCTGAGTCCTGAAACTGCGATGCCAGAACAACGCGCTGAAGCTTAAACGCCTGTAACCCAGCCCTACAGCCAAAAGACACCGGCCCTAATAACCAAGTCCTAAACTCGAAAACTCTAAACTCCTAAACCCTAAATATTCCAGGATTTCAGCGCCAGCGGGCGATTTCAACTCGGGAATGTCTTGGTGGATGCAGGCCTCCAGACAGTTTCGGGGTTTAGGATTCCAGGCTGTGTGTCGTGCTGATTCTCGTAACTTGTCATGTGACTGTTGAGGTCTGTTTGTAGTTCTGAGTGAAGGCACCACGATCGTGCACACGGCTGCTGGATTTAGGCTAAACTTGCATCTCAAGAACCTGCCCTGCATCGGGGCCCCTATGACCAACTCAATTACTTTGTTTGTTTCGGACCCTATTTTGCTTCATTGCTAAGTGTCGTCGACTGCGGCACCTTCAACCCCACGTACTCGAAAATGGCATTCAGTCTGCTCCACATAGAACTTGTCAAGAAAAACACAAATCCTACTAAAATTAAAAACTTGCCGTGGTTACCTACGAAGCAACTTCGGCCATAAACCCAAACAAGCGTTAGACGAAGAACGCTTAGGTGCCATGCGAGCTGAGACATAACCCCTATGGATACTATAGTAACCCCTATAGATACAATTGACTTACAGTTAACCCTCATAGTAACTCTCAAAGTAACCCTTATAGATACCCTAAACCCTAAACCCCAAACCCTAAACCCGTGTCTATATAGATACCCTTAAAGTAATAGGGCACCTTGTCGATCCAGAAGGATGTGTTGCCCCAGTCAGCCAAAGTGCGGTGCTCTTGCGCATAGTCCTGCGGGCTTGAGAAGCTTTTGATTATTCGGGGTTTAGCGTTTAGGGGTTTAGGGTTAGGGGTCTAGGGGGTTTACGGATTAGGAGTTTAGGGTTTACATAAGGTTTAGGGATGAATTGATTAATTAGGGACTAGGGTTTAGGGGTTTAGGGTTATTTATCGTTTAGGGATTAATTAGGGATTGGGGTTTAGGGGTTTCGGGTTTAGGGATTAGGGTTTAGGGTTTATATAGAGTTTCGGGATTAAGGTTTAGAGGCTTCGGGCTTGGGGTTTATAGGGTTTCGGGTTTGGGGTTTAGGGTTGATAGGGTCTAGGGATTAGGGTTTAGGGGTTTAGGGATGAGGGGTTTCGGATTTAAGGGTTTCGGGTTTCAGATTGTTCGGGACAATGCAAAATCAAATTCTTTTCACAGCTGGAGATACTGGCCATTGGAACAGGATTCTGGAGGACTATGCTGATGCTGCACCGGATCCTAAGCCACGAACCGCACACCCCGAACTGCATAGAGGCCTCTGGAGTCCGAGCCCCCATCACGAAGCGATCGTGGCTTTCGGGGGCGTGTATATACTTGGAGCGTTATGCCTTTGTTCTTGGACTTAGACGAGACGACTGGATAAGGCAGTAGATACCTCTTCATCAGCAGCAGTTGGTGCAAAGGGGATCATTGCAGATACTTCCTGTCAACAAATCTGCACTCCTACACCCAACCCGGCAGACTGAGAGATGCTAAGGCCTTTCGCAACGCAAAGGGGCCACAAGATCCACTTGACTCGGCACAGAATGGCACAGAAGAACCCCAGCAAACGTGGTGCAGTTGCGCATGGTCGGAGATGCAATGCACTGATCGTCCTAATGTTGTCGATCACGGTCGAGACGTAGCACCCTCTTTGCACAACTCTATATAGATCCCAAGCCCAATTGGCGATTGCCATGGTATGGCCGTCATGCAAACCCTAGGCCCTAAACCCTACAGCCTAAACCCTAAGCCTTCATGCGCAAACTACTCCGGACGAACCCTGAAAGCCGCTGCACCTGAACAGGTCACTCCATCAAATCCCCGAATGGTCCGTGTACCCAGAGGGTCTAAAGGACCCAATAGTTAAGCCCTTAGGTTTAGGATAGGAGTTATGTAGGTTACTATTCGGGAGAGTATGTGATAATTAGGTACTTGGACCCTTAAGATATGGTATGCGCTTTAAATATACTCTCTGGGTACCTGGACCCTTAAGTGGGGGAATCCGTATAAAAAGAAGTCTTTATTGGAAGTGCTTTCAATTCTTCAGATCGGCCCTCTCTTCTGTATGGTTCTCAGTAGGGAATGGGGGAATGGGTTATCGGAACTAGGATTGGGGGATGATATAGGCTATAGGGACTACTACTTAGAGGATCATGGGAGTTAGTAACTAGGGTTATAATTAGGGTAACTGCACTTATAACCACTTATAACCTCCATTAAGGTACTTGTAACCTTACTTACTAAGTCCCATGATCCTCCAAGTATCGGGATCCATCCCCCATTCCCTACCAAGCACCAGGGAGTCGTTCCCTAGCTTCAATTCTTCCCTCAACCCTAAACGCTAAACCCCTGAACCCTAAACCCCGAAACCCTAAACCCTCATCCCTAAACCCTAGATAAACCCTAAACCCCTATTCCCTAAACCCCTAAACCCTATAATCCCTAATCCCTAAACCCTAAGCCCCCTCTTTCCCTGGCTTCCGACCTTGGCCATGACGGCCAACGTGGTCGACTTGATCTCGGAATAGTCCACGCCTCGCAGCATCGGAAGGAGGAAGACATGGGATCAGGTCTCGTAGTCGGTGTAATGTAGGGGCCTTCGTAATTTGCATAGGGTTTTGGGGGTTTGGGGAGTAGTATACTACTACTATGAATGTGATAAGGAACCCCCAAATCCTGTTCAAAGCATTAAGGCCTTCACAGTATACAGTCCATATGTACTACCATTTATAAATGAAGCCCCCAAAGACCATCCCTATTGTGCTTTTTTTGGGGGTCCTAAACCTGGACCCTTTGGGTTTGGAGGGCTTAGTCGACAGGCGTTTGGTGCTCTACATGTAACCCCACTAAGGGGAGCACGACTCCATACTTACACCCAGCTCAACCCCAAACACTTCTAAGCAACAAACCCCTACCCCGAAGGCCCTAAACCGTAAACCCCGAAACCCCAGAACCCAGGGTGCCTCTCAGCAAGCTTAGAGTTTAATGTTTGCCTTAACCCCGAATAACCAACCTTCTTAGGGTTCGTTATTAAATTTTCCTTATAATATGACTCCTTAGAAAGGTAGGTTCTTCGAGATTAAGGTGTGTTTAGGGCTGCGCCTTGCCCCATGCGATCTTCCCAATCATCTGGAGGCGACCAACTGTGGCCTCGTCTCAGGTTCTGCGAAACCCTGAAGCACCTGACTTCTTGGGGCTCCTGACCATGATCCCTATTTGATATTAAACCCTGAAGTGCCTGCCTGTTTTGGGTTCCTATCACATTATTGTGATTTCCTTGCACATGCCTCAACAAATAGGTGCTTTGGCGGTTCAGCCGGTTTACGGGGTGCCGATCGTGACGTTAACAATTAGAAGACAGTGCTGGGGCAAATCACAACATCATTACATAGGAATCTTAGAAGAAGAATATTCACTCTAAATCTAACGCTCAAAACCTGTCCAGTATCCCCCTTGCCCTAAGCCCCAATCCCCGAAGACTCCGGAGTACCAAAACCCTGTCCCTTCGTTGGGATCAACCTGTAGTTTCCATTGTAGTGACGTTTGCTGGTAATACACTTTCATCCTACCTAGGATGCCCAGTAACCTAGGAAGAAAAAGGGCTCCCTTTTTGGTACTGGGAAACTCTATAAGGAACCTAGGACTACAAAAAAAAGGAATCAGGGTACTACTGGGCATCCTAGCTACCTAGCTATCCCAAACCGGGAACCACCATGCCCAAGGGGTCCAAGTATCATTCTGGTATATGCTTGGACCTCCAAAATACCCTATAAGTATATACCATAATGAGACTTAGACCCTTTGGGATGGAAACTATAGGTAGGCTCCTCAAAGCTTGGGGCTTCCCAGCAGCCCGGCGACTCAAGACGTCCTGATCGAGGGATCCTTGATATGGTTTATACATTACCCTACCCAAAGGCCCCATAGTAGTTCCTTTTTCGGATTGCCTTATAGGATTCTATATACGAACCCCAGAAAGGAACTACTTTGGGGCCTTTGGGTAGGGCTCAACAGCACCCAGAAGCCTGACATAGTAGGGTCTTCGGGCCATAATAGGAGTCCTTGAAACCTTGGGGAGAAGGTGTAAAATCCTTTGTCATTTGGGGTTTAGGGTTAGTATATGCTCCATATACTTGCGGTTCAGATGGCACATATTCCTCAATGAAGGGTCTCGGGTTTAGGATATTCGAATATTCCATGGCTCCTGCGGTTGTGGGGTCTTTGCTACACCAGGCCGAAACTGTAGCCCCAAACCTTGTAAACTAGCAGGTTATCAGAATCGGGGATCCCTAGACCCTAAACCCCTCAATAGGTTGTGGGCTCCACAGGAAGAGCTTCCGGAGAAGGGATTCCCCTAAAGTTCGATGCTCTGGGATCTTGACAACTTTTGCAGGATAGGCCGAAGGCCCCAAAAGTACCCAACACGGGCCATTGTAAGGGTTCTTCGGTTACTACTTAGAAGCTACAAAATCGCCACATCGTTGTCCTGATGCTCTTAGGTAGTAAACGTTCATTGTAAGGATTACCGTCAGGGTCAAAGTTACGAGAAGGATTTAGACTAGAGTCTAAGGTTGCCGGAAGGGTCTCAAGTACCTGGAGTAGCAAGTATGGTCTCAATATTATGGAGAACTACTGCTATCCTGACCCAAATAGACCCCACATACTATAGCGGCCTTTACGAATACAATCGGGTTTTGGGGCCCATTCTACTATAATTATGACAAGGACCAGACCCCAAACAAAACTGATATTGGTAATTTTTTAGGCCCCTGTAATAGGCATTTAGTGATTAAAGGAAGTACAACTCTCCCAAGCCCCTTAGAAACCACTTAATCTCAAATTTGGGGCTCACCTTAACCCAGAATAACCTACCTTTTTAAGGACTTATACTTGGAAATCATATTAAGGAACCCTAAAAAGGTAGGTTATTCACGGCTAAGGCAGGGTTTAGGATCAACCTTTGGGAAGTGACCACTCCAGTTTACTCCGAGTCACTCACAAAGACGTCCACTTCCTGTCGCCAATGGCGGGCTTCCGATGTTGAAGGTCTATGAACTGACCAGGTTCAAAATCTAGGATTTTGAGCCTATTTACCGAAATATTGCCAATTCCAACTTGTGGCGATGACACCCCCCATAGATATAACCCACTGAGTTAATTTTCACCACTTAACCAGAATTTGGAAGTTTCCGAAACTAGGGGACCCTAATATAATACCCCAAATAGCAGGATCCTTATTATAAGGACCCCAAAATCAGGTACCCCTAAATTTCGGAAGCTCCCATTTGAAGCTAGGGTGCCCAGGTCGGCAGCATCGAACTGTACAAGCACGGCACTCGCAGTCGCCAACTTTGATACACTTCAGTCTCCAGAGAAAAGGGAGTTTCCGAACATAGGGGCCTTTTAAGGGATCTATAACGGTTCCTTAAAAGGATCTACGAGGGTTCTATCAAGGGTTTGGGGTTTAGAGTTTCCGGAAAAACGAGGGGTGCCTTATGTTGGAGTCCTTACGATAAGGATCCTACTATTTAGGGCATTATACTAAGGTCCCCTGTTTTCGGAAGCTCCCAAATGAGCCTAAATCCTAACAGACCCTTTCGCCAGAGCAACACCTTGCATGCTACCGGTGACTGGCAAATGAAGGCTGCTCGAAAAAATCTTTAAGACAGGAAACCACAACCCTCTACCATAATCCCAGTACAAACCGTAACATCACCTGTAGCAAACTCTGAACCCGAATATTAATTCTGTGTGCCAGTCCTACATAAATCCCTATCAATCCGTTTAAGCTACCCTGTAGAACCCTCTACAGAAATTGAAAAGATCTCACAATCTGTAAACCCGTTGTAAACCCTTGAATGTTCCCCGCCCTAATGCCTAAACACACCATTACGACAGCACATAAACTTTAAGCCGCCGGCCTCTGCATCTTGCGAGAGAGCATAGTGTCGGCCATCGCCCGTGGAGGAGCCTTGGCATTCCCCAGACTTCGGAGACATGTGGGTGGTTGTCAAAATTAGGGTACCTTTTTGGGTCCCTACTGCTACAGTACGACACCTGATATTTAGGGTACCCAAAAAAGGACGCTAATTTTGACAACCACCCATGTGTGTGCGATATCTTACTACCCCAATAAGCATTTGAAATGAAACGCTAAACTTTCCGACTCCTACTAAACTATAAGAACCCATCAAGCTTAAAGGGTAGGTATTGGGGATCTAAGATATGCAAGTATGTGTGCGTATATACTGCGCCGGTCCCAAAGTTCGTCGCACTCTGTGCAATTCACTCACAACAAACCTGTCTGAGACCCCTTTCCGGCGTAGACTTATCCACAAGTCCTCCGCCTGGAGCAATTATAGTACTATTATTTCATTCCCGGATGTTAATGCCTCTGCTAGCCGAGCTAGGGCATTCCTCACTCCGTGTACGTCGCATACTCCGTCTAGTGTCTCTGGCAGATGCGATAAAACTTTATTACCGGGCATGTGTATATATATATATATATATGTATATATACACATTATACAAATGTACATACAATGTATGTGCGCATGTACATGCACGAATACACAGATGTAACCAGCACATGCACATGTGCATATATGAATACATGCATACATGCATACATACGTACATAGATAAACGCGTGCAGACCTACCTACATACACACATACGTGCATGCACGCATGCATACATGCTTACATGCATGCAGACATACATACACATGAGTTCACACATGTTGCGTTAGAGGGCATTAGAGGTACGTGATCTTTGGGAGTGGGCTTGGCGGCTTAGTGCTGCAGACAGGGCTCTAGCTGCTTGCAAGTCTGCCCGGCCTCCAAGACCTTAAACCCGTCTGTCCTGTAACAGAGTCCGGGGCCTGCAAGCCCGGAACCTCCAAGACCTTAAACTAGTTCAGGGTTGGGGTAGCATTAAAAATGTACAGTTTTGTTCCTTATTGGGTTTAAGTTCCCGTAAACATGCAAAATGTTCCCCAACTATGGCACAGTAAACATCCTTGAACTAAATCCGTTTGTCCTCTGACCTGAGTGTACCCGAATAGGGTCTGGAACCTAAAAAACCCTGAACCAGTCAAGGCGCTCCAAAACTCGCTGCACCTTGCTAATGTAGAATCACACCAGGCGGCCGCCACATCTGTGAGCAGTGGGTTCCGGGTTTAGGATGTAGGGTTTATGGTTTGGGGGTTCGCAGTTTGGCGAGTGCAGGGTTCAGGGCTTAGAACGTCTGTGGTTATTGTGGTTGAGCGTTGTTGTTGCTGCTGTTCAGTATCAAGCTGAAAACACTGAAGGGCGAGAATGCATCTGTGAGCAGTGGGTTCCGGGTTTAGGGTGTGGGTTTATGGTTTGGGGGTTCGCAGTTTGGCGAGTGCAGGGTTCGGGGCTTAGAACGTCTGTGGTTGAGCGTTGTTGTTGCTGCTGTTCAGTATCATTCTGAAAACACTAACCCCTCAGACCTCTACGCCCCTAAGCACTTGAATCCTAAATCCCAGAATAAAGGAGCCCGGAAAACCTCTGGACCTGTGGGATGTACTTGGAGTATGGGTCTTGTTACTAGGGAGTAAGACTTTGTCATGAACGACAAGACTGAATTGGAAACAACAAGATGCTTTTTCAATCACGGGATCGCCAGAGTAAGACCTCAAGCACACACTCACTGACACTCACCGAAACCCTAAACCCTACACCCTAAGGCCTAAAGCCTAAACCGTGAACCCGTAACACGAGCTCTATATGCGCTCACCAAAGCCCCCAATACAACCCCACATTCACAAAGGCCCAAAACCCTTAAAGACACCCATAAGATCTTATCCGAAGGCCGTCATGCACCAATTCACGGCAAAGAAAACCGATATACTTCATTTCCCAGACGGTCCAATTACCCCGAAAGTAGAGTTTTAGATACCAGCAACCATAGTATTGTATTTAGGACCTAAGCTTGGACGCTTGCCGAACCTTGTAAAACCCTTTCTAACCTGATTCCGTATAAACCCTAAACCCGAAAAACTACTACTTTCTACACGCGAAGTAGACCCTAAACCCTAAACCCTAAAGCCCTAAAACCCTATAAACCCTAAAACCCTAAACCCTATAAACCCTAAAGCCCTAAACCCTATAAACCCTAAAACCCTAAACCCTATAAGCCCTATAAACCCTATAAACCTTACAAGCCCTATAAACCCTATAAACTCTATAAACCCCAAAGCCTAAACACTCAAGCCCTCAACCCTAAAGCCAAAAGCCCTACTGTTCGGAGTTTGGGGATCCGAAGGTGCGCCAAGGCACGTCGGGCTGGAGTACCACGCAAGAGGACATCCTGACGAACCGCGTGCTTAGAGTTTAGGGTTTAGCGCTTAGGGTTTAGGGGTTTAAGGTTTAGAGTTTAAGGTCTGGAGGTTTAGGGAAAGGGGTTTAGGGCTCAGAGTTTGGGGTTTAGGGTTTAGGGAGTTTGGGGTTAAGGGGTGCAAGGCTTGGGGACTAGGGATTCAGGCTTAGGGATTAGGGATTAAGGCTTAGGGATTAGGGATTAAGGCTTTGGGTTTGGAGGCGCGTGTTTAGGAGTTTAAGATTTCTAGGGCTTGAGTTTAGGGTTTAGGGTCTTCGGTTCAGGCTTTCGGGTGTCACAAGCCGGGCAGTCCCTAGCAAAGAGTTGTTTCTCATCCCTGAGACTCCAAGTATATATACAAATAGCACTTAATTCGGAGCCTAAAGTCTATAACTGGTAGCAACTTCCTTTTCTCCTTCCCGAAGGAAAACAAGCTTTGATGATGTCTAGAAAAAAGCAGACAAGAAACACATTACGGTTCGCCGATTGGCTAGGCAAGCAAGCCACGCCCTTCTAAGCCCCAAGCCCAGAGTCCTGCGGCGCCTCTGGAACGGACCGGACTTGATCCAATTTCCTGAGATGCAATCACTCTGTTTGTACTATAATGAAACCCAAAGAGCCCACCGGCAGTACCGGGTTGAGTGTGTGAAGGATAACCTAGGGAGTTGGATGCTACAGAATTACAGCCATAGCAATATGCACGCTACTTAGTTCATGACTATATGGTATATACACACATATAATACGTGTCAATTGTCATAATGCTGGGTCTGGTAGGGGTTTATGTTGCTGCTAGATCCACTAGGCTATTGTGACATACTGATATGATATGACCGTAGCTGATAGCTGCGGCACCCTCAACCCTAAACCCTATAAACCCCTAAACCCCTAAACCCATAAGCCCCTAAACCCTATAAACCCCTAAACCCCTAAGCCCTAAGCCCCTAAACCCCTAAACCCCTAAGCCCGAAGCGCCTAAAACCCCATGCGCTGAAGAAGCTGCACTACCCCAGCGCCTATAGTAGATTCGAGCCGAGAGTCCGATCTGCTTCTGAAGCCATGGCCGGGTCAAAGTGCCTTGAAAAATATCTATCTAACTATATATATATATATATATATATATATATATATATATATATGTAGGTGTGCGTGTGTGTGTGTGTGTGTGCATGTGTATAGAATATATATATATATATACGCATGCATAGACTAGCAGGTCAACCAATATGCACAAACACACACATACATTTAGGGTTTGGCTGGTTCGGGGGTTCGGGATTCCAGGTTCAGGGTTGGGGTTCGGGCTTGCGGGAGGATAGGCTACCGGGTGAGAACGGCCTGTTTTCTGCGGCGCAGCTCCATAATACGGTTGATGATATGAACCCTGTATTACGCATAGTACGGAATATGCCACAACTCCCATATAGTCTAGGGTCATTAAGGTCATGCAGGATTCATATCATCAACCGTAGTCTTCCAGGAAACGTTGAGGTAGCACCGCAGCCGTAAACCCATCAAGCATATGCCCCTTCGCCATACAGTACGACACTTTAGCCACAGCCTACTCAAAACACACAACCTCTGCTTCAAGGCAGCCTTGCTGCGCAAGGCTGAGCTCCACATATTCATAAAACTATCCCAGTATTGTCATTATTGTGACATTCCCCTGTGTCCAAGTTTCTGTATTATAGGACTGAAATGTTCACATAAACCCGACCCTTGTAGCCCAATCACCTGTATGGCAGGATACTGTTTTTGCGGTGTATAGGGTTTACGGAGAACCCCCCCCCAAATTCTTAGTCTTTATCTCAAGTAAGGAACACTACGGCTTGATGGAAACACTAAACCTACAACACCATACTTTCGAGCGGTGACCAATTGTCTAGGCCTTCCTAAACCTGAACCAAAATCCTAAATCAAACCCAACCAGATGCCAAAACCCAAGACTCTAAACTATGCAAGCAAAACCCTAAACCCTAAACCCACAACCCAAACCCATCAAGATCGCGTCAAGACACCCGTACTTTTGAAGGATCCCCTATAGAACCCTGATGCTCTCCAAAACGAAATGCAGTGCTCGGAATTTTTTTACAACCCCTATCATATCCCCATTCATCCCTATGTAGTCATACTATAATATCGCCACAGCTTGTAATACTAAGGCCCTATACTAAGCCGTTGTAACTACTGTAACACCCCTCCATTGAAGAAGCCCACAAACATTAAGGCCCCTATAGCAACCCCTGCTACAAAACATCGAAAAGACACTTCAAAGGAACTTTGCCAAAGTAATACTAAGGCCCCTCCACCGAACCCTTGTCATACCCCTCAAAGAGAGCCTTAGCAAAACCTTAGTCTACTAGGTAAGGCACCTAGAGTAAACCCTAAACCCTCATCCCTAGCCATAGACCCCTAAACATTACAAGCTTATCAAAGGGGAAAAGGAGGGACCCTTAATGGGGACCCCTACCTTATAATGGGCTATATAATGGGCATATAATGGCTATATTAAGGGTATATACCTAGGGGTCCTTATTAAGGGTCCCTCCTTTTACCCTGTGATAAACCCCTCAAACCAGAACCCCAAATCCTAAACCCTTTGTCCCTAAACCCTGCATTAATAAGCCCGTAAACCTGCTGCTGCAAGGCTACTTAATACTTAGAATAGGGTGTTGGGCGTTCCTTTATATATATATATAGTTTTAATATAGTACACCCCAAACCCTATTCTAATTATTCAAGCCCCTATCCCTTATAGTAACCCCTATATAGACCCCCTTTAAATGGAATCCTAGGGATCCTTTAAACTGCCAGGCTTCAGCGTCTCATTCGCCTCCGCTGCAGCGCAACCCATCTCCGAAGTGCAGGTGGCCGAGAGGAGGTCGAAGTTGGAGATTAGCCTTGGCATTTGGGGACTTAGTAAGGGTTCTGAAAGGGCTCCTTACAGGGATCTATAGGGCTCCTTAAAGGGATCTATGGGGTTTAGGTTTAGGGTTTAGGGTTTACTTGGAGGGGCAGGGGACTTAGTAAGCCGTTTATAAGTAGGGTTATGATTGGGGTAACTCCATTTAGGGTACTTATTACTCTACTTATAACCTACTTACTAAGTCGGCTGCCCCTCCAAGCAGGGTAGGGTTTAGCATTTAGGGTTCAGGGTTTAGGAAGTAGGGTTCAGGGTTTAGGACTTAGGGTTCAGGGTTTAGGTTTAGGGTTTAAGGTTTAAGTTTAGGGACTGTTTTCGGGCTTGTAGGGTTAAGGGTCTAGCGTGGCTTTTTAGGATCTTTGGAAATGAGGGTTAGGGCTTATGCGGGTTTATAAGGGTGGTTTGGTGCCTGTTTTGGGGCTTCTAGGGTTTAGGGTAGGGTTGGGTTTAGGGTTTAGGGTAGCGCAGGGTTTAGGGTTTAGTGTGGGGTTTAGTGTTTCAGCACTAAAACCTACGACTAATAAACCCCAAGCCCTAAACCTAGGGTTCGCGACGTTCTTTCCTGTGGGGTGTGAGATTTACGTACGGTGTTGGGCTTTAGGGTTTTGGAGCTTGAGGTTTCGAGGCTGCTGCAAGTTTTAGACTAGCTGTCGGAGGAGTAGTAAGTGGTGATGGTAGTAGTAGGAGGAGTAGTGGTAGTAGTAGTAGTAGTAGTAGTAGTAGTAGTAGCAGTAGTAGCTGAACCTGCTAGAGCCGACCTCTAGAGAGGGAGAGGTTGTGGCACGCCGAGGTGGGATTGGTTCAAGGTCGAAGAACTCGGTTTAGTTCTTCGGTTTGCGACTTTGGCCTCGACGAGGCTCAGCCACAACTGAGGGTTGA